AATTTTTGAAAAAAAAAAATTCAACAAACAAAAATTCCCTTCAATTTTTGTCATATGATTTCTCTTTGATTCATGATGATTTCTCAATATAAAAATATAACGTAATGAAATAACGAAAGATGCCAAAAATTTAGTTTGAAAATGAAAATTATATAAAAAAAAGATTTCACGAGCAATGAATTTTTCGAAAGAAAAAATTTACTATAATAAAGAAACGTAACAAAGAATAAACATATCTAATTAATATTTAACACATATTCAACATGCATTGAACTGTTTGTTTTATACATGTTTTATAATTAATAATTTTTAATTTACTTTTTTTATCCAAACATGCTTTTATATAATTAAACAAGATATTAATAAAAAAACTTTAATTATAACTATGACTTTTTTAATTATATAAAGTCATTTATAAAAAAATGATCATTTACTACTATTATTTAAAAATTTATTATGCATTTATTTCTTTAAAAACGTACTTTTATGTTCATTAAAAGTGTACGATTTTACTTTTATATGAAATTTAGATTAGATTAGTAGTGTGTTATAACAGACAATTTGCTTCTTTTAATAAAATATAATATATATTTTTATTGTATTGATGTATTTTTTAAGTAAAAGGTCAAAAGGAGACAACAATTAAATAACATTTAATTAGTTTCCATTCTATCTGTATATATTGTACGTGTAGCAGCACTTGAAAATTGTACTAATTAATAAATTGTTTTGTCTATCATTAAAAACAAAAAAAAGGAAAAACACAACTGCAATCTCCCTCCACCGAAACTCTTGTCCATTACTTGCAACAACTTAAAAACGAAGCCAGCTGATTAAAGAAAAGTAATTGAATCTGTACCAAAGGCAATAAATAAATAAATGAATGAGTTCAGATGTATATATATGCAAAGTACAAAAGCAACCTGCAAATCAATGTTCATTCACATGGCTCTCGCAATGGATCATTATTCGTTGCTGAAGATACGTTTTTCCGTGAGGCAGGGGGCGGGGCCTAAGCAGTACCCAGCAAACGACTGAGCAACCAATTCATGCTTCCTCTTCGTAGTGCATTGCACATGCTACGTCTCTGTCCTTTTCCCTGTGTTCTCGAACCCGATCCGCCTTAGCCATCCAAGATGTAATATTTCGTTGCAAAAGAAAGAATGATTTGATTTGTCGTCTCAACAGCTATTTTGCCTTGATAGTATTACGCTACTACTCGGGGAATCCCTTTTCTAATTTTAAAACTTTGCCCTGCAAAAACATTCCAATATTCCATCCCATTATTATATATAATTTTTATTTGAGCCATTTTTTATTTACTTTTTTACTACTATCCAAATTTTCATCTTTATATTCTTATCTACTTCAGTAAATTTTAAAAATTTAAAACAAAAGAAGGAATCCGATACAGATTGAACCCATGGTAACATTCAATCAATGAATGTTGTTTAGTATTTAGTATGATTATAAATGTATGTGTTGCTCGATCTAAAATTTCATATTCGATTTTCTTTTTATGAAAAAGGGTAAATAAACATAGTGTTGGATCAAGTTTTTACTTTGGCACATAAAAGCTGCTGATGTAGTTCTACATGCACAGAAACTGAAGCCCCAAGAATGGTAAAAACATTGTTCTTATGCGTTGTGGCACTTTGTTTTTTACTTGGTTTCCGGTTAAAAAGAGGATTTCTTAATTAGGGGCGGGTGCAGGGACTGAAAGATAAGGCTAGCTGTTAGGCAACTGGGGTCGTAAATGTGTATGTGCATGTTACAGGGCAAAACATGTACATTTGTTGTTCCAACCACTAATATTTATACATAGTCGTAGGGTAACCTTTTTATTTGTCTGGTCTCTTTCCCTCTATTTATTACGTGTACCTTCGACTTAGCTAGAATCTGCCACGTCTGCGGCTCCTGTTTCTTTTCCGGTGCAGGGTTTTTGCTTCCCTGGATCTTTGATATCGTATAATAATTTCAGCTGAATTTCGGGCTTTTTTTAAGGACAATAATCAATGTAGTAAAGGGTTCTGGTACTTCGTATATATCCAGTGGGTATCAAATTTTGAAAAAAAAAAAAAATTCATAATTACAAATCAGTGGTACAACTTCAAAGTATCTATCAAATATTAATTTATTTTTTAAAATTAAAATTAAAATTATCATATAATATGATATTAATAAAAAATAATATGTATTTATAGTTATATTGTATCTGATCAAATATAGAAAGTATAAAATATAACATAGGATACGTATTTTAGGATAAGATGACATATAATATGAAACAGTGGATTTTTTTTATAAATTTAATTTTAATTAATTATTAAAATTTTTATTTTTTATTATTTTTAAGTTGAAACATGAAAAATTATATTTTATATGTTTTGATCATTAGATTTTAAACAAAAAAAAATTAAAAAAATTTCAATTCCTTTTTAATTTTAACATGATAAATGTTTTTTAATTTTTTAATAAATAAATTAATATAAATACATATATTTTATTTTAAATGTATATTATTAAGGAATTTGTTGAAAATTTAAATTAAAAAAATAATAATCTTTTCAATTGACATTTTATAAACTTCAATTCTGTTAAAAAATATAATATTTTTAATTTTTTTATTTTACATATATAAATGTTTTTAATAATTAATTTTAAAATATTATATAATATTTTACAATATGATATGATGCTCAATATTAAAAAATAAAATTTAGATGCATTATACATATTTTAATTTGACAGCTATACTTAGAATTATTCTAATATTTGGATTTAGACACGTATAGTTTATACGGTAAGGATATGCTGAAAGTTACTCCATAATGATTATAAATAATTCTATTTTTACAAACAATCCTATCAAAGGATCTTATTCTTTTCAAAGTATTAATGTCGACTGATTTGTGGTTGCACGTGATACAGAGAAAAATGTTAAGGAAACAAACGAAATTTGCTAATACCAAATGATATATGAATGTGAAAAGTTGAATAGATAATAGAGTGGAAAGTAATTATTTCTTTATTGCATAAACTATTCTTATAAATAATTTAATTTAGATTATTAAATAAATATATTAATTTGGATTCATCAAAACTTTTTAGATTTTTATTCTTTACTTTAATTTTTTAGTGCAACTTTGCTGCTTGGATGCATGTTAAATAAAATAAAATAAAATAAAATTCCTCATTAATTAATTAGAAAAAGCTATAATGTGGGTAGTCAAGAATTTTGTTTCTTTTTTTTATTTTGTCCAATGAATGCTAATTTAAATGCCATCTCTTGCCACTTGAGTAATGCTTAGTGGTGTTTGTTTGACAAATGCCAAACCTTTACAATATATTTTTGATTCACTAAAGGCAAGTTGTGGATGCGACATCAATATCTTTGGTTTTTTTTTCTTACCCTTTCAAATTTTGCCCATACAACAAGACCAAAATGATATATAAACTTGAAATTATATTTCACTTCATATTTTATTTTTCCTAAACTATATTACATTGAAGTAATAAATTAATCAAGTTAGTTCTAACCATATATTCAGAGACAGAGGAAATAGGGCTAGTAGGGCCTCGTCCTTCAAACGTTTTAAAATTTTTATAACATACTTTTAAAAAAAATTTATAAATTTTTTATTTAGTTAGATACTCCACAACAATTAGTTAATAACTAATTTTAGTAGAATTAGGGACTAGAATAACACCCATTACTGTAAAATTGTTCCCCAAATTCCACATCTACAACCACCCACCTTTAGTTTTCTTTTTACTAAATGGGAACAAAAAGACATTTTTTTTTTCTTATACTCTTTGGCTTGCTATTAGAATTTCTATGCAAAAAACCTCTAGTCAGTAATTCGTTAAGAGCAAAAATCATAGTAGATTGTTAAATGATTATTTAAAAAATTCATTAATTATTTTCATTGAAAAGAAAATTATTCGCTACTTTGACATTAATTTAGTAATAGATGTTTAACTTTATTAAAAACCAGCTAGCTCAATTAAAAATATCCAATCTTAACATGTAATAGTTATTAAAAAATATTTTTATTTTAAACTTAATCCGTAATTAGAGTTATTTATGTAATTTATATATATATATTTTTTCATTTAAGTTTTTTTATATTTTTGTCAAATATTTAACTTCTAATGTAACTGTTTTATAACCATTATCTTAAATGCAAAATCCTAACTCCACTGGTGCTTATGTTTTCCTTTTTTTTTCCCACAAAGCAATACTAATATACAAACAAATTCAACTATTCATTACAAATTGCAGCTAGACAAATCTGATAAGAAAAACCCAACAGATCACGAGATAAAAAACATCACATAAACTCTTGCTATCATGCGTACAACATATGATCAATCATGGATGCCAAACTTTACCAAGCATCACACTAATCAAATATATCTGCCACCTAAATTTATATATATAAATACATGCTATGAGAATTTAATCCCTGCATCTTGTCACTAATTGGTTTCATCTTGTACAATAGTACTCAGTCATTGTGTTCATATGTACTGTGTCTCTCTCAAGTCTCAAGCATCAACAGTTTACTTGGTGTTTAATTTTATTATTAATTATTTATTTTAAAAAGGTAGGCATGGATCGAAATCCGTGATGGTGATGGAAGACTAACATGTTTTTGTCACAGACAACAACGGTTGTTGAGAGTCACAAATGGAAAGTAGGAAGTGATAAAAATAGAAAGAGAATTGTGGAAATATCGCGATAAATTGATTGGGAACTGATGCAGGAATAGTGAGAAGTGCTAGGCGTTGCAGAAACAAAGTAGGGTTAAAAATCTTGGCATCATTGCTATCCATGTACGGAAAGCGATCGTCCACATAAAAAAGAAGGGTTTGGTTTATTTTAATGTGGAAAAATAAACTAAAATAAAGAGAGAAGGGTTTGAGAGGAAAAAAGCAAAGAAAAGGGAGAAATGAAGTCACTATGTTTGGATTGATATCCATCATCATCCACGGCAGGGCCGGATTTTGGATTTGGCTCAACGTGTATCTCATCGCTTCACTTCACACACCCACACACACCCACAAAAATGTATTTCTTTTTAACTTTTTTAGGCAAAATGTCCAAAGACTGAAGGTAATATTGGGAAGAGTTTCTCTTTAGCTATAAAAGGGCAGGTAAGTAGGTAACCTTTCCTTTCCTGAACCAGCAAACACACACAACCAAGCCCTTCTCTCTCTCGTTTCTTTCTCTCTCTTATGGTTTAACTTAACTTTCTGTAATTGGGAGGCCTTTGGTTTTTGTGACCGGACCTAACTTCCAGCTCCTGAACGCATACCAGTTCCTCAATAAGGTAAAAACAACTGCACAAAGAACCCACCAATCTTAAACTCCTCCCCCCACTGGTGCCTTTATTTTTTTTTTTTGCATGTTCATGAGTTAAGATTGATGGGTTTTGTCACTTTTTCTTGTTTTATTCACCGAGATCTGGACATGGGGTCTTCCACTAGGGTTTCAGCTTAAAATCTTCGATGAACTTAGCACAAAAAGTCAAAAAAATCCCACTTATTTTCTCGTCTTTTGTAAGTCATTTTATGTACTAGTAGTATTTTTTTTCTCTGAGTGAAACTATTTTTGGTTTTGATCTTATATTATGGAGGGTACAAGAAATGGCCAGAGAGAAGATCAAGATCAGGAAGATTGACAACGTGACGGCCAGGCAAGTGACCTTCTCGAAGAGAAGGCGAGGCCTTTTCAAGAAAGCTGAAGAGCTTTCAGTTCTGTGTGATGCTGAGGTTGCTCTCATCATTTTCTCGGCTACTGGCAAGCTATTTGAGTATGCCAGCTCCAGGTATTTTTCATTATCTGTCTTTTCTCTGGACAAAATCGCCTGGGTTACAATCAATGTATCACTTCTCTTGGAAATATTCCTGCTCTTCTTCTAATTTGTGTGTGCTTATAGACATAGACGGAGAGCAAGGGGAGCTGGTAGGCTTCATTCTAAAGTTTCTTGTGAGGTTTTAGATCGTACGGCTGATCTTTCAAAACAAGAATAAACCGTTTGAAGGAAAAAGGAAGGTCTTACTATTTCCAGAAATGTAAAAGACCACAAACCTGGGAATCTCAAGCTAGCCTGGGTTTAGGATTATGGATTTTTTCTTTCAGAGGTTATTGAAAGCTCCCTTAGGTTGAGCTTTTTCAAGGATCGTTGTAAAAATAGGTGATCTTGTGGACAAACCTTACGGATCATGGAGGCCGTCGTCTCTTCTCCTTCAAAAGCTTCTAAACTTACTTGTCTGTAATAGCAGTCGTCTAGGGGAGAAAAAGTGACTAAAACCAGTTCTTTTATTTTTTGGGTTGAAGTAATAGCTAGCTTTGGGGACTTACTGATTTTCATATATAAATTTTGTTTTGTTAATGGGAGATTAACATATGGTACTGTGTTCTCTCTTTTGCATAAAATAGTCTCTCAAACCCACCAAAGAATCAACTGGAGCTGCTTAGGATTTGTGGATTTTAAGAAAAATGATTCGTGTTCGATTTAATTTTTAGTTAACTTCTTACTCGATTGCCTTAGTTCATGTCTCTCTTGGACAGTTTTGGTACCTAGCCTTTTGTCATCCTTATGCCCTTCGGTTACTGATTCTTGGGGCAAGAGATCTTAGGTATTCCATGGTATATTTTGGGAATCTTTAGTGGGTCATATAGCTTAAGAACATATCCATTTGAAAAGCTACCTGCAAGAAGTTTTTATTGTTCCACGATCTTATATCTGTGGGAGGTGGCTTGTTAGTATCAAAGGTGTCGCTCTCAATCTTGTTTATGTGTTTTCAAATGTTAGTTCCATGCCAGAAGACCATATCGATGGCATTGTATAACATTATCTTCTATTGAATATGACTGGAGATTAGACAAGTTTTAGGTTGATGACAAGGCTTATTATAGTGGAAGTGTGAGGGAATACGAGACTCAAATATATATGTATGGTAGTCTAAGCCGTGACCACGGAATAATTCCTTACGACGTCCTGTGAGCAAAAGTGATTGTGAAGGCTTATGTAATTGGAATTAATGAAGAGGCTAGGTTGCAAGCATATCATCATATTGATTAAATTAATAATTAGTCCTGGTATTTATGAACTTATTATCCATCAATTCTTTGGAATTTTCAATACTAATTACAAGTATGTAAAACCAAGTTTTAGCTCTTCTTTCTTCTCTAACAGGTGCAGTACTTTTATCTATAAAAGTCTAAGAGGTGTTCAAATGCGAGGAGTCATTGAGTCAAACAAGAGGCTTCAACAAGATGATTATTTTTCAGCTGTATAAATTTGAGCCAAATAATTAGTTGATATAAAGAAAGTATCCTAGATGTGCTAATTAAGAAGAAAATGTAATTTAATAAACACAACCAGCGGAGACATTACAGATGCTGGAATCGAAGGGGTGATTTAGAAGATGGAAGTTTCAGTGTGTAAATTCTGGTATCAAAATAAATGAATAAAGTTAACTGGATGGCTTGTGTTGCATGCAACTTTAAAGAATAGTCCAGTGGGAGTAAGGCAGGCATGATACAAGAAGATTGGGAGAGACTAAGTTTTATGTGGATACACGTTTGACTAATAACGAATGAGGTTTCAATGAACTAGTGGAGTATTTCAGACTGTCATATATAGCTTATGTACTTAAAGGCTTTGCGATCAGGCCTTCTAGGGCAGAACTAGTTCATTGATGCTGTTCTGATAGATTATTAAATCATAACTTTGATTTCAATATATCCCAAATCATTTTCCTAGACGGTGTTTAATGTTATGCAAAGAGCATCTTTTGGTGAGCGTATAAACAAGTTGTATTCAAGGTAATTGGGATCTATTTCTTTGCAATACATGATATTCTACGACGTATATGATAATAATGTATCAATGTGCAGCAATTAATGAGTTTTCCTGGGGTAAAATCTTTGAAGAGATGTCAGGTGCTGGTCGGTCCATGCTAGTCTTATAACAAACAGATCCAAACATAAGCCTTTGGCTGTTATCTGTTAAAAATATGTTGACCTGTATGATGTTTTCTCCCTTTGTTTATCATAAGTACTTTGGATGGCCATTGCTCTTGATTTGGAAGCTTTGTAGGAAAACTGGGAACTTCGCACGTAGCCTAATTATTGAATTAGCCTAGCTAAATCAAGCTTCTGATTCTGTACACTATGCTTCAAGTTAGCTCATTCGAAAGGATAATGTGCTTCTGAATGAGTTTGATATGACACCTCAGCCAGAGCTAAGCTTCAATCACTTGGTTCGACTAGTCCCTACTTTTAGAAATTTTTTTTTATAATTGGGGGAAGGGGGATTCGAATTTTGCTCTTTAGATAGGGGGATTTGAACTTTGCTCTTTAGATAGGGGGATCATGTACCAACCAATGAGCCAAATGTTCGAATACAGCCCTTACTTTCAGATTGAATGTGAAAGGTTTTACATCTTCAATTAACTTTCAGTGGCTTATAATTTCTTTGTAGACCAATTGGCTGATGCTACAATTTTCCTTTTGGATGTGTTAGGGTGCTTATGATCCATTAACATTAAGCATATTCTTTGCTTTCATCATTCATTCTGATGAAGACATCTCATTGCATTGACTTCCAACCTTAATTTTGCTAAATTTAGCACATAGTCATGATCATCAGTGCAGACATTTCTAAAGTGTTTTTGGAAACAATGTGTTGATATGATATCCCCTATTTACTATATTTAAGATTTAACTTAGGGTACTCCAATTGATAAAACTCTTAAAAATGTTAAAATTAAAAATTTATTGATATGCTAATAGACCCACCTTGATGTTTAATTTATGTGCTAGTTGGTCTTAATTCAACATCGAAGCATGTGCAAGTGTGTGTGTATGTATGTATGTGTGTATATATTAATTAATTTTGCTAAATTTAGCTCATAGTTATGATCATCAATACAGATATTTCTAAGGTGTTTTGGAAACAATGTGTCAATATGATATGCCTCATTAATTATAGTTAAAATTTAACTTAGGCTACTCTAATTGATGAATTTTTTGAAAGTATTAAAATTAAATTCTAAAAATAAAAATATATTGATATGCAAATAGACTCACCTTAATGTTTGATTTATGTACTAGTTGGTCTTAATTCAAAGTCATAGTGTGTGTGTATATATATTTCTAATAAGTATTTGATTTTTTTTATAAATATTGCATATTTGACTTATTCATTTGATTTTTTTTTTGAAAGGTAGATGATTTCATTAATAACTTGCTATACAAAAGAAGCCATAGAAGGCTAGAGCTGCAGATAAGCAGCATCAAAACAGACCATACAAGATCAACAACACCCTCAGGTTGTAATGAGATCAAAAGAACAACCGTCAAGAGCATCATCGAAACAGACTTATGCATTTAATTATGGATCTGTTTTATATTCTATGTGCTCTAGTCTCAATTAAGAGTGTTAGTCTAAATGTTCAAGTGAACATCACACACTAATTTGTTAAATGCAGATAATGAGATCCCATTGTTACAATTGCCATTTTTTAGATCAGTTTTCCTCTCATTACCTATAACTAAATAGCTATGTTTGCCCTTTGATTGTAGCAGTAACTGTTTAGACTTTGGGTGATCTGACTTGGATTGCTAAGTTGGAGCTCAGAATAACTGTTAAAAATCAAGACCTCCATTACTAAACTCTCATGTAACTTTCTCATACTTTTGTTTTGCTCCTTGAAGCATGAGGGATATATTGGGAAGGTATAATGTGCACTCCAACAATCTCAACAAATTGGATCAACCCTCTCTCGAACTACAGGTAATTATGGAAGTTGTTTATGAGGTGTTGAATATTTCAAAGGAGAATCATGCAACTGCCTCTTGTATTCCATTTTGACTGTATAGATTCATTTGATTTCCTATGCATGCCTTAGAGATCCAACTAACAAATGCAGTGGAATAAGCTCTATCCTTCATTTTATGTATTGCAACATTGTTCCTTGAGTTTTTCGATTAATTGTATGAAGAATACTCTTCATATTTCTTTTTTTTCCCCCATTTTTTCTTTGTGTTGATCTTAAATTTCATCTTATAAAGATGGAACGTGTAGATTTAAAAGGCTACAGAGGTCAAAATTAATTTGTTATGCTTTCTTTAGAAATCTTTGTGAGCCTTGGAAATGCTTTTTCTTTTTCTTCTTTTCGTATTTTGAACGCTTGCAAGTTGGAAATATAAGTTTTAATGAAGTGTGGTATTATTAATTACAGCTGGAAAACAGTAATCACATAAGATTGAGCAAGGAATTTGCTGTTAAGAGCCATCAACTAAGGTCAGTAATTTGTTTTTCCCAATGGGACTGCTGCTGTTGATATTTGTACTTAACATTGACATATAACCGCTTTTAAAACAGGCAGATGAGAGGAGAAGATCTTCAAGGATTGAGCATCGATGAATTGCAGCAGCTGGAGAAAATGCTTGAATCAGGACTCACACGAGTTCTTGAGACTAAGGTTTATATATGCTGCTTATTCCATCCACAAAGCGAAGGCTTGATTTTGTCCATTAACAAGTAGGTTATTCCACTTTTCTCAGGGTGAACGTATTTCGAGTGAGATCTCTGCACTTGAAAAGAAGGTTAGTACAAGCATTCGAAATAATCTACAAGCCAAGCCATCAATGTGCATGTTTGAAAAACAAGTTCTATCTGTTCCATGCAAAGAAGGCTAGCTGAACGGAATGGTCCTGTTGTTATTTGGAGTCAATGCATCCCATTGTTCCTATTCAAAGTTGTTGCAATGTTATTGGTTTTTCACCCTAATTAGCTTCCTACACTACAATCCAGAGCAGTTATCTATGGTAGCTCTAATTTCAAGGCTGCCCAGTCTGCTTTACTATGATTATAAAAGAAAAACAGGCTGTTTTTAGAACGATGTATCAACAATGCTGAACTTCATCTTAGTTTCTACCCTCAAATGAATAAATACTTTGAAAATTTAGAATTTCAGGGATTTCCGATTTGAACCATTCAACTCTATTTGCAGAAAATTGCATCACAAAATTTTAAGGAAAATTCTAGTATATGTACCTTTCTGGTTTGCTTAATAATTTTCTCTTGATGATGATGCAGGGAGCACAGTTGCTGGAAGAGAACAAGCAATTAAAACAGAAAGCAAGTGCTAGTTCCCAAAATTGTTATGCTGTTCCTTTCAATTATCAAATTATAATAATTTTGACATATACAAGATTTTGGGCTTTTCCAGATGGTGACTTTGTGTAACGGAAAAAGACCCATCTTAGCAGAGTCAGATGCTGCAGTTCAGGAAGAAGGCGTGTCATCAGAGTCTGTCACTAATGTTTACAGTTGCAACAGCGGCCCCACGTTGGAGGATGATAGCTCAGATACTTCTCTCAAACTAGGGTAAGCTAGGAGTGTTATAGACATGCATGTTCAGACAAATGCCATTCTGCTTATAAATTCTTGAAATGTTTGAAGCTCCAAAATTTTATGATTATTTGCTTGCAATGAACGTTAAGGTTTGAAGGATAAAGCTATATATAGTCAGTGGCTTGCTGCTACTTTCTTCAAGCATAGAGGTAGCTTTTGTTTCATAGAATAACTTCCCTTGTAATTCGAAGGAACTAGCGAGTAGGGCGTATCAAGAGACTCCTATACATGCATGCACTAACAGTGGCGCACAGTATCAGCCTGGACATGTTTGACCAAACTGCTGCTTAGTTGCTTTTCTGAACTCTTTTGCAGGCTTCCATTCTCTTGCTGAAGCAGATGGAAAGGAAATGAAGTAAATGCTTGCAAGGATTACTTGCAAGAATATTCCTAGAAGGTGTTAGGTGAAAAGCAAATATATCATAATGGAAGTTAAAGATTTGTCTTGAATTATTTAAAACCTTGTGGGTAGTGATGTTACTCTATTTGTATGTTATTTTCAACTAAATCTAAAGAAAACTAGTAGCTTCTGCTGGTAGGACACTTAGGTTATTTACTTGTTTATCTATTGATAATTGGTCTAGATAGTTTCAGGTTGGAATCTTTCCAGTGAAGAGATACACTTGCTTAAATATATGATAAATAACACATTATCCCGACTTCTGCAATTGCTAAAGTGGCAAATGGATTCCAACTACATAACTGGAATTGCAAAAAAGTACATAACGCTGTCGGTCTTAGTCCTGAGTAGGCAGGAGGTTTGTGACAGTCATGTCACTATATATTGAGACCATTTCATAATCTGTGTTTGCAATCCCTATTCGTATGAGATTCGAAGAGGTAGGTTGCGGTTCTATCACGCTAGATGTCCCGGGGGACGCCATATTCCAGATATAACCCCAGTCGAGTACCCGTGGTTACGAAGGCCCGGGTCGTGCTCTCAAAATCCTTCCTGTTCGCATGAATTGTTAATCCTATAGCCCGAGTAAGTCGACCGTGTTTTAGCTGTATCATTCCTTGATTGCCCTGCAAAACTTCCTTGCCCTTCACAAAATCATGCACGTAGCGCCTCCTGTTTAGGCCTCCAGGGGTGATCTAAACTGAATTGCGCCACCGCTTCCACTACACATTGCTGGCTGCTGCTCCCTCGGTAGTTGTTGCTGTCATGAGTTCCTCCACCTTCATCAAAGATGGAAAGTGAATTCTCCGCGTTCACTGCTCATGTATGCCCATCCTTCTCCTGACTGCACTCCTTGGTTTCCTGCTGCCTAAGCTGCTGTCCTAAGTGCAAAAAAGGTGCTGCTGCTCAAAATCCTGCCACTGGATTGATTAGAGAGAAAATGCCTTCCTTTTTCATTTTTTTTTTGAAATGCTTGTAAATTCATTGCTTGGTAAGAGAAAAATACACAACAACAGGTTAGTGTGTAAATTCCCTGTCTCCTTCCTTCTATCTTTCATTATTTGTGATCCTTGGGGTACGAAAGGCATGGTCGTCACCGGTAATAAAGTAAAAGTTCAGGATTTATGCTACTGACCTCACAAGCCCCGCTAAGCCCTAAGCCCTAAGCCTTGCCTTCGGCGTCACAACCTCAACCTAAGCTCCCCACAGAAACACCTCCTACATAGCCTCGGATAAGTCCTAGAGAGTCACATTCATTGGACCTTCAGTTCTGTTGTAATCACATTTATAGGATTAGTTGTCGTCGACTTTCCTCTCCTCCTCTTTGTCCTTTTCTTTCTCTAGATCTATAGATATTATAGCAGTCTTGCTCTTGCACATCATTTTTCTCCATTAATATATGAAATTATTAACAAGAAAAGTGTTATGTTGAGGCTAGAATTAAATCTATTGCCAATTAAACCAGTCGAGATACTCCACATCTGATTGTAAGAGAAGATGGAATTTGTACAAATTCAAATATCTGAAAAGTCCTTAAAATATTTTTTTCAATTTAATCTCTTTATTTCAAATTATAATATTTTAATATATTTATTTTAAAATTATTTTAATTTAATTTTTTTATATTTTTTATTTAAATCAATAATTATAATACTAACATAATGTTGACATAACACTTAATACTAACATGACAAAATAACATAACACTATCACATCATTATAAAAAATAACGTGATTATGTTATTCACAATTGTTACTTGTATTAAGAGTTTTTATTGCTAAAATTTTTGAGAGTGCAAAAATACTCCAAACAATATAATTTTACAAAAAAAAAAAAACACACACACACACACACAAGCAAGCCCTGAAATCGGAAACAAAAAGAATTGAATGTGAAGTAAGAAGACAAAGACGGTCAACCAAATAAAACTTTAATTGATTTACAAAAGTATCCCTTATGTACGTGTCAATCATATACAACAAATAGATAATCATAGTTGAGCCAATAACACGTGTCCCAATGAGTTTTTTATAGAGACGAAATAATTAAAATTTAACTTGCCACTTGTGTTTTAGTATAGTATTTTTTATATCAAAGTATATCCAACCATTTGCGAATGACATGGATAATGAATATAATAAATATGAATGTTTCTTTTTTGTTTTATCCTAACTGTCTCCCTTATTTGTATGAGTATGATTAATTCCATAATATTTATTCCAGAATAAAAGAAAAAGACTGTTTTTCTCAATTATTATTTTATTTTTGGGAAGGCAATATGTTATTATTCAACAGTAATGTGTAGAGGTATTAAGAGTACATAAAAATTAATGTAAATTCTGTTTATAAAAAAAATTAAGTACTACTTTTTATTTCTTTTTACTATTAATTTATATATATGTGTTGTGATGATTTAAAAAAATTAAGTTTAAGATTTCGTTATTTTTCCATTATTTTTCGTATAGTTACCTTTTTTAAAAAAATTATTATTTTTTACTATTAATTTCTAACTTTAATATTGATCTGAGAAATACAAACTTTTTAAAAAAGCATTAAACATTTTAATATTAATTTTTTATTTAATTAATCTTTATACCTTATTTTTATAAATTAAAGTGAAGATTTTGAATACCAATTTCAACCATCTTTATTCTTAAATTTATTCTTAAAAATTAAATAAATTATTTATACAACATTGACACTTACAAATTTTAATAAATAATTTGAAAAAAATACAAACTTTTTTAAGATTTATCAACAATGCTTAATATCGCATTACATCAAGATTTTTTAAAAATTTATTTTTAACTATAGCTAATTTTATTTTTGTTCTTACATATTTACATTAAAATTAAAAAAATTATTTCTCAAAAAGCTCTTTCCAGTAAATTTGAAAAGATACTTCGCTTTTAAAAAATAAAAATTTGAAAAGATACTTAAAACTATGCGATGATCCGAATAAGACAATGAACCCGAGTAGAGCAAAATCAGAACTGACCTGACTTGTAAAATATACATAGACAAATCCTCACAATAAGAACTCAAAAATAAATCAAATAGCAGTATAGGCATGGCAACATAAACTCATCTCTTCCAAACTACATTCACAAAAGATACTTATAATTTTCATTGACTTCCTAATAACTATGAGGGGGTCATGGCAACGTACAAGGCACTTTAGAAAAGGAAAACCCAGCACTGCAGATATAAATCATGTATTGAAATATTTTCCAAACCTCCATAGAGCCGTCACCATGGGATGATCTCTGACTTCATAAATCTCGTATTAGAAGAGAAAACAAACCCAAAAGAACCATCTGCCATCTGGACAACTGAATCAATTAAATACAGAGCCAATAATCCAAAATAATCATTCCCAATCCTTCGCAGAAAGGCTGAACACCCACCAAAGTATCAAACCATATCTCAATATCCACAATCAACGTCAAGAGAATCACAAGATCTTATACTCCAAGAACAATCTACACAAAAAACAAGATTCATCCGACATCTACTTCTTGTTTCGATAGGACTTACAAAAAAATATCAACATGACAAATGAAATCCAATAATGAAAAAACAAAACAAACAATTAAAGAAACCAAAGCCAATATGCAAAGAAAATTAGAAACAAATGCTGAGGAGAAAAGCTTAGACGCTGAAGAGAAGACAAGCCTGCATTTTCTCATTGGAAACCACAAATGCAAGATTGAGAGCTGAGAAAGAACCCTTTATAGATGGCGTTCATCTGTTCTGGATTCCCCAAATTTTCTAGCTCAAAAGTGCATCCAAGACTAATTCCTGTCAATCAGGGGTTCCACAACAAGATCAAATAGGAACCAATACAGCCAGCAAACCAAAAGCATAGATATACCATTTATCATCATGGACAATATATTTAGAGAAAATGGAAATCAGTCAAATCCATCCTGTCCAAAGTCCTTTACAAGCAATATCTTCCTCTCCTCTACTTCTGCGTCCAAAACTTGAAAAAAAAACCCAATCACAGAAAATATACCTCTAATTTCCAAATACACTTCAAAGAGATGAGAGAAGCAAATTTTGTACAGAAAAATGTCACAGAACTTGAAATGCTGGAATATTCTTCCCACAACAGGTTTACAACATGTACCACTATAACAACTCCATACACTAGTGTCTCAGAAAATTACGGTCCCAAAGTGATCCCTGCCTGTAAAACATAAAGCTAAACCCCCAAGGTTATGGATTCTAGCGAAAAGAGGTAACATAGACCATGATCAATAATTATCTCTGCATCTGCTTACCCCTTTCTGTCTTCATTCTTTGAACTTCATCCACCACAATATACAACAATCTTACACTCCTAAACATAACATGAATAACCAGACATACATTGGATAAGACTTCCTACTAAAATGCACTGAAAATTCACAAGCACAGAGAGACTAAGGGATAAAGAAGTTAGAAAAGTTAAAAACCAGTCAAATAACTGCACCAAAAATACATGTATCAAATAACTTCAAACATTGCCAAACCAAGCTTATACAGCTGAAAGATTGACGGATCATCCGTTCCAACTCAAGAATCCCAACATCTGCATGTAAGATGAAACCAGACTAAACAACAAACTGGTCTTAGAAACACTGCAAATCAACCCAGATCTGCTTTCCAGATCTCAAATATTAGATTGTCCACAATCAGCAATATCCAAGATTCACGTAAATAACATCCCATAAAATTTGAGTCAAAATCACTTACTCCAAACACTAAAATGGAACATCTGACTGACAAATGGAGAGATGTATAGATATAGTGTAAAAAGAACCTTTCACAAGAAACCCTCACCCACCATTGTTCTTCAATCGTGCTCTCATATTCTCTAATATTTATAACTGATAACCTCAAACAGAACGTACAAATATCGAATAGCCTCTTTAGCAGCACATCATTTAAATACAGGACTGCAAAATCAAGACAAACCAACCAAACAAAAACATGAGTCTAAGCGAACAAAGAGAGGCCAAAAAGGGGAAAAAAAAAAGAGAAAAAAAATTACGAGAATATGAAAACATAAATCCAAAATGCTCAAGAATCTCATCAACAAACGCATATATCAGAAAACTTTCAAATTCTTGCCAAAAAGTGAAGAGAAATAGGTAGTCAAACCAAATCCATTAAGTTTTGCCTCCCCAAAACCTCTAACAACAAAAACAAAAAACAAATACAAAAGCTAAACATTCAAAACATAAAGGACAAGGGAGTTTTGAACTTAAGAAAAACAGAGCTAAAAGGTGAAAGATAATGCACACAGAACACAAGAATCCAAAAAAGGAAATCAAGACTTTGCAACAAGTTTCTCCATTAGTAGAGCCCAACTGACCACTGCATATAAAACCATTAATTAGGACCATTATAAAAACTAGCTGGAACTATAAAGGTATTTTTCTCAAAATACCAGGGAAAGAATTACTCATCAACTAAGCATACTGTTGTTGACAACTGCATGTAAAAAACGCATATCAATAAATTTTGGGAATTTAAGCAATAGATAATAAAAAATGATTTTAAAGGCAAACCACCTTGATTATGTTTTGGCTTCCAAAACCTGACAACAAAAAACACAAAAGAAACACCAAATTGATCTCCTTCCAGAAGCATTTGATCAAAAAAGAAAATAGCAAAAGTTTAAGAACTTAAAGGGCAGGAGACTTATGAAAAGAAAAGGATAAAAGTTAAAAAGTATTGGGCGCAGAACACAGGAATCCAAAACAGAAAATAAAAGACTAAGTAAGAAATTTTTCCGTTGGTAAAGCCCAAGCAACCACTGTACATAAAAATATTGATTAGGACCACTACAAAAGCTGGAATTACAAAGATATTTTTTCAGTTAAAAAAAATCCATTCAATTTGAAGCCCTCACAAAGTAACATGTTCCAGACATTTATAAAAACTAATTAAAACTAGACTTCAAAAATCCAAGAAATGAAAACACAACTGAAATATACGCTAGTGGCAGAGCTTGAGAAACCAGAAAAGTATTTGGTACCTACAATCACAGAAGGATTCATATAGTTATCAATCACAAACACAAGAAAAATGTCAGCATAACATTACTGTTCCAGTCAGCAAGGATGTCTGCAACCTTTTGAAACAAGCAAGTGATTACCGGAATCTTTCCAAACAGCTTTTAGTAAAGAAGAATAAAAAGAGGTGGTTTACCGAAAAGGATGCAGCCCAGCCTCCTCAAGAAAGCTTTGCTTGGTAGGCGCTGCCTACTCACTTGGACAATGCGATGAACACGAGAGAGTGCAGTTCCGCCCCCTTCTCTCATGCTGAGTCACAGCAGTGCCTCGGAAAGCACGGACGAGCTACATGCAGGGAAACTTGCACGTGTGGTTCTGGCCAAGGACCCCAGTAAGCAAATTTTGGGTATATGTAAGACATAGACAATTAAAATGGCGTCACCTCCTTATCTACTTACCCAATCTCCATCAACAAAGGGATAACAAAGTTACATAAGATCTCATTATCTCAGCATAATTGCTAATAATTTTTAACAGCAGCCCGTGGAGACCCAAGAATCAAGAACATGAAGCACAGAAAGCAACCAAAGCAACATACTGCACAAAAACCTAACCAAACGAAGAAAAAACAAATTTAGGACAAATGTAGAGAAACACCACTATTCCAAATTCAGCAAGATCTTCATCCTTGCACTTCCTGCTTTGAATTGTGGAAACTACATCAGCATCTAAAACAATAAAGGGTCCAAAAGTCATATCACACTCAGTGACATTAACTACTCAGGATCCTAAAAGCTCCAAAACTAAAAAGTTTAAAAAGATTGGATAAGAACCAGGGAGCAAATTTCCTCAAGAGTCTTGAGTTGAGACAGGATTCAGAAATTCAAAATCCACAACCCTGAGCAAACAAAACCATAAAAAGATATTACAAGCAATAAAAACCAAGAGGTCAACCATAGTAAAAGGATATTACAAGTGAAAAAAACCAAGAGGGATCAAGGGTGGGAAAATTTTGATGTATATAACTATAGTATTATATCTGTGTTATGTGCTGAGGATAGAATTTCCAACATTGCTGTTGTCAACAACTACCTATGAACACTAGGAGTTGAGATTGTCACAAACAAAAGGCAAAAAACAGTCCACAGAAAAACAAACAACACAAAGGACAAACGGCTTCTAGCTTCTATATTTTTCTAAAACAAGAAGATCAAAGTAAAAGATCCTCCAACAATGAACAAGAATCAATAGCAAGAAATGAAGATATCAAATTTCCCCATCACAATGTCCAGCCAACCAACCAATGCATACAAAAGACTTTAACAAGAAAACTTATAAAAGCCATGATCCATTTTCCGCTACTGATGAACAGCAGTTTGGAGGCCAGAAAGATTAACATTACCAACAAAAAAAAAAGCTAACGTGCAAAGAAAGATGACAAAGTTTGATATCTGGAAAGGTCTCTCCCACCATAAGAAATGCCAATAGGATCAAAGTCCACAACACAATCACATTAGAAAATTAATGTTCTTATTATAAGCAAGGTGATAACTGCCTGTTAAACATCGAGATGAACCCCATATATGAATTATTAAGTGAAGACACGACACAAACCATGGCCATCAATTATCACTGGATCTACAACAATTACTGTTCATTGAAGCAATATGATCACTGCCTGTAAAACTTCAAGATCATTTAAATGAATTAGAAAGAGAAAACATAACATAGATCATGGCCATCAATTGTCTCTGCATCTGCTTACCCTTCTCTATTCAGACTCCATCAACCCAATATATAGAATCTTTCATACTCCCAACATAATGTGTATGGTCACACAGAAATTGCAGAAAACTTCCTACCAAAATCCATAAAAAGTTCTTAGCCCAAATACCAGGAGACTAAATGATAAAAGAAATTAGAAATGTAAAAACCAGACAAAAGCAGCAACTGCATCAAAAATTCAAGTATCAAATAACTTCTTCAAACACTGCCAAACCTAAAAGCTTTAAACTGCAGCAAGATTGATGAATTATCCACCCCAGTTTGAGAATCCCACATTCCATCTGTTAAAATCAAACAACAAACTGATCTTAGTAACACTCAAATCAACTCCAGATTGACTCAATCAGAATTCCAAATACCATATTATCCACAATCATTTCTTTGTGATAAAGCCCTCACAATCCTAGCCATTGAGCTACAAATTGCTGTATTCAAGTTTCCAATCAATACATCCCAGAAGAACGCTCCAAAATACCAGCTCCAAAATCTGAATTGAAACAATCCAACTGAAAAATGGAGAAAGACGGAGATATAAAAGTGCAAGGATAAGCTTTTACAAAACACCTTACCACCCACTGCTTCCAAATCTTCCATCCCTGTCTTTTCTTCAATTCTAACTGATAACCTCAAACAGCACCTGAAGTATCAGAGAGCCCCATTACCAACACTACCATCTAAACACATGATTGAGAATATTGAGAATCAAACCAAACAAAACCATCAAGAACAAAACTATTAAACACTAAGAAGTTCGAAAACCAAACAAAAAGGCAAAAGAAGCAAAACAGAGACTAGAGAGTCAAAATCACCATGTCAAAACACATAAAAAAATGTTCTAAATTTTTTATAAGATTTAAAGTCAAACCAACTCCCAAGTTTTTTGCTTTCCCAAAACAATGCATTAAGAACATAAAGGACATGGAGTTTTGAAAGAAAGAAAATGGTGGAAGGTACACAAAGAATAGGGCATGAAAACATAGCAACAAATTTCTCCATTACTAGAGACCAACCGACCTCCTCAGACTACACATAAAAACCATTAATTAGGACCATTATAAAAAACTTGAATTACAAAGAATCTTTTTCAGTTAAACAAAATCAAATCAATTTCCTTACAAAATAACACCTTCAAGACATTTATACGATCCAATTAACTCCGTAATCCAAGACAGTGAAGCCCAAATGCATTATATTAGTCAACAAAAGTTGAAAAACTATAAATATCCGCCACTACCTACAATCACAAAATAGATATCACTATAGAACTCCAAGCACACAAACACAATTAAGTGGCCGTCTATTATCACTTTCCATCTCTTACCAATCCCTTCCTCCCAAGCTTCATCCACAAAGATTTTTTTTTTTTTTTTGAAAAGCACTTCATCCACAAAGATATGAAATAACAAAGCTCACATAAGATCTCATTTTCCCTGTGGAATGCTAATAGTTCCTAAGAGCAGCCTCTAACCCAAGAATCAAATAAGGGCAAACGATCAATCAAAACCAATATACTGCATGAAAACCTTAAAAAATTACAAAATTCCAAAACCTAAAAAAAAAAGAAATGAGAAAGGCTTTTGCTAGTAAAATAAAAAAATACAGAACAAGAAAAACCTATTGGATGATTTAGCTCGAATCTTGATGTAGATAGTATCAAAATCTCAGTATTATCCATCTCTGCATTATGGGAATCCAAAAAAGAACACAGCAGAATGAAGAACCATCTATTAATATGAAAAAGAGATCTAATCAAAAGTTGGAAGGATCTACAAACTATTGTTGCAAAATCAAATTACAAGGCATACTACCCAAAACAATTGCTTTGACAACGTTCAAAATTCCAAGACTGTAGTGAAAATCTGACCAAGAAAAGATGCCAAAAGAAACCCCTATTCCTGCAAAATCCATCATCTTTGTCCTTTATCATAATAATTCTGGAAATTGATAACACCAAACACACTTCTAAATAATAAAAGGGTCGAAAAGTCATCTCAAGCACGGTACCAACAAATGGTCTTCCAAAACCAAATATTTTAGAGAGTTATGAAGAACCAGGAAACAAAATCTCCTTGAGAGTTAAATCCAATAGGAAGTCTTAAAAACCAAGAGGTTCTAAAAATGGTGGAAAATAAAATTAAAAAAAGAATCTGTACAATCAGACTATAGACTTTTGTCTTATGAGCTGAAGGTAAAATTTCCAACATTGCTCTTGTCAACAACTACCTACAAAAACCATAAGTCAAGCCCAAAAACAAGAGAAAGAAACAGTGAAATGCAAACAAAAAGGTAAAAGGAACAAACGTCACCAGTTTGAAGTCCTTAATGTCCACATCTTCCACGAGTTCCTCTTGTGCCAATGTAACTAATGAAAATATAACCGGAAATAAAGAAATAAATTATGCGAACAAAAGTTTCTAAGAAGCTTCATGTCTGCTGCCTACACTTCTAAAAAACTATATACCTTCAAAACAATGATGCAAATCAGATATCAAGACCAAGAGAAAGCAAAATCAGAACTGACATAACTTGTAATCTGGTGACTCTCTTCTTACAAACACAAACAAATCCCAGCAAGATATAGGCTTCAGAACAAGAACCCAAACTCACAACCACGAAAAATTAGTATATGAAGTTATGTTCAACCTCTCTTTATCCGGAATTAATAAGCAAACCCCAAGAGAACACAGATTTCACAATTAAAACTCAAACTCACAATCATAAAAAATTAGCATATATATCTTATGTCCGCACTACCATAAAAAACTCCTGTTTAAACCAAATTAATAAGGAATCTCAGCAAATCAAAAGCAGTATGCCACGGTCATTTAGTATCTCCTCATCTCTTCCAAACTGCATTCACAAAAAACATACTAACAATATCTTTATCTTCTGACATGTTACTAATGAACTTCAAAAGACAATATTATTCACAAGGCAGAAGGAGAAACCTTCCTCACGGCCATGAGAAAGTTGAAGGATCAGCTCTTCACAAAAGGAATTAGCAGCAACATCACTGCAGGCAGAAACCTTGTATTGAAATATTTTTTTCCAAACTTCCAAAATTATAAACATGAAGAAATATAAAACTCAACGACCAAACCAAATTCTGTCCACGAAAAACAGTTACGCTGCCAACACTGCAACTCCTTAAATCTCGTAACAGAGGAAAGAAACCCAAAAGAACCATCTGCCCATCTGCACAACATAATCCAATGAAAAGATAGCCAATACTCTTAATTACGTTAAAAAATGAACAGTAGCAATGCTTTTGTGAAAACTCCGAGAAGAATAGATATCAAAACAAATCCATTTAATCAGTTCTTAATAACAGGTTAAGAGTTAGACCAATCGTCATCACAAGGGATCGACGTCAACAGAATCGCATGATCACCGTCGATTCCAAGAAGACAAGAACAATCTAATAACACAAAATCCGAGATTCAACCGATTTCTGTCACTACTTCCATAAATAAATAAAAATCCAAAAACGCAATTCCAATCCAACTCCTTACGGTATAACAGACAATCACTGAAACCCAAACGAATAAATGCAGTACAGGAGAAAAACCAAACGCTGCAGAGAAGAGCAACAGGCCAGCGTCCTCACCGTTTCCGCGGGGAGAAAGCTTCCTTGCTCAGGAGCTCTATTTATAGAATAAAAGGGGTCAAGATAGAGGGCTAGGATTAAGCGGTGGGGAGATGTATGAACGGTCCAGATTATTGGCTAGGTACAGCTGGCGTTGGTTGGCCTTTGAACGTTTTGACCAACGCGGTTTCCAGGTGCGCCCGTAGTCCTTAAGAAACCTAGCTGCCATATGTCGGTTAGAAAAGGGGCCTTATAAAGACACGTGGAGGGACCCTCTAGGACTGTTTCAATAAGCTGGGTTAGTTTCCGATTTGCATACAGAAGTTTCAAGCTCAAGTGGAATGAAGCCCAAAAATCATTTGGGTCTCAGGCTTGAGATAGCCTGCACACTAGCAGAATGCAGAGCCAATAAGATAAAAAATACAAATATTAGGCATTTGTACTATAAAAAGTAGACTTTGAGATTTAAATATATATATATATATATATAAAAGATAGAGATAGATGTAACTTCTTTAATAATTTTGGTCTTCTAAATGAATAATTTCTAAATATATAATTTTAATTGGTAACAATCTTTTTTATTTTTTTTCATTTCTTTTCATTTGTTTCCTCTTTTCCCTTTTTTCATCTTCATTAGATTTTTCATTAAATTGATAATCTCATAAATATTTTTTTTCAGTAATTTTCTATTTAATTTTAATAACTGGAAATTTCTAAAATATTTATATACTAAATTATTCAAATTACATACTTATTTGGTACTTTTAGCATTATTTGGCATGCCATTTTTGTATTTAACATTTTTAATAACTTTGATCTCTCCAACCTCAAAATGAATAATTATTTTTCATAAGTTTATTTATTAATGTTTAAATACCTTACAAATGCTTTCTCATAATCTTCTATAAAATTTCAATAATTTATATATTTATAATAACGCAACGTTGTTGGAGTAGTACAAATCTAAATCTTGATGGTTATATAACTTCTTTAATAATTTATATATTTATCTAATTCTCTTTTTATGCTATAATTACAATTATAATTAATTCAAATATTTAAATATTATATTATAATTTCAATTTCATATAATGGTTGTGCTATAGACGTTAAAAATTATTATTATAATTTTTATATATACAAATATATGATAAAAAATTATAGTTTGAATTGAACCTTTTATTCACATTGATTTGTTCATTAATTTATTTAGTTTGTATTTTGATTTATTTTATTTCATATAATAGTTACGTTCTATATGTTGAAAATTATTTAACTGTAATAGTATTGTATTTAGACAAATTTACAAAAATAAAAATCTCATCTAAACTCTTAGTCATAGGTTGATAGTAATTTATATTTAGACAATTAAATATTGGTTTTTTATTTTAATTCGAGTGATAGCCTTTTTTACCATTATTTATTATATATTTATGTCAAAATTTAAAAAAATTATTTTAGTTTTATATATTTTTGTCCTATTCTTATATATTTATATTAAAAATAAAAAAATTAGTTCTTTAAGAACATTAAATTGTAATTTTAATTTTAAAAAATTTATAATTAATATATTTAATTACTTTTAATTTACTGACCTTGTATTAAAATCAATTTTTATATAGGCTTATAGAATTCACAGGTTATGGCGCAATCAAAAATTTGCCGAACTAAGAGCGGTCAAGTTCGGGTAAACCCTTTTCCTTGTCCGATTAAATTTCTATAAAGCAAACCCTACGCGCAAAGAAACACGTTCACGAACTTTTTCTCACCTGATTGAGTCGTGATGTCCACTCTCTAAACTTGCGCGTTGTTTCCAATATTTCCAACCTCTTTAGCTGGTTTATTTCCTCTAATTGGCTCGTTTACTCATAGAAATTAGGGCAGCTCTCCTTTCTCTGTTTCTCTGAAGATCGCAAGTGATTCTCCTCTACGTTTACTCACTAAGTTTCTGTTTCTGACTCACTTCACCAAGTTTCGAACTCGTTCGTTGAGCTTAACCTAATTCTTGTCATATGCCGATGAAAAACGGGTTCGAGGCGTTTGACTTCAAGGAGGAAGACGAGATTTCAGAATTGGCCGCTGAAAAATATTTGAACAAATTGAAAAACCCTAATTTGGATGACCCTGCAAATCTGAAATACCAGTTTCTTGAATGCGGTACGTTTATAAGAAAAGAAAAGTTTCTTTTTATCTTGTTTATTGTTTTTCATTTTTTTAATAAATTTGTTTAGGTGCTGAAAAAAGCCGCGAGATCGAATTTTCTGTCTAATTTTAAATGCCCAAAGCCTTTGCCTTCTTAGTAAGATAAGGGCAATGAAAATGAAATGATTGAATCGTAGCAGTATTTGTCTAAATTTGATTTGAACCAATTTAAATTGAGGTCTCAGTTGTTTGATAGTGCTTTAGCAATGAGGTTATAGGAAAGATTTTGCAATCACTTTTGGATTTTGAATTTCATAATTGAGGGAATGTTATATGGTTGATAAGCTTTTGTTGGGTTTTCTGTTTCCTACTGTGGTGGTTTGACGTGCTGCATGCAATTCGCTATGGAGTTTGTTGTGTTTTCCTCTTTTTGGTTAGATGCTAATGACTTGAATTCTTTGTATCCGGCTATGGTTGTTGAGTTTCAAAGGATTAGATTTGTAATCTTATAGCATGGAAAGATTTATCAACTAAATTTTTATTTGGGATAATTGTAGGATATAAGATGGATGGACTTTAAATATTACGCTGCTGTTTTTTATAGTAATTCCTTTGCATTTGCTTCCAGTTGCCCGTGGTGCTGCTGTTCAGAGAAAGGAAATGGACAATGTTTCTTGTGTAGATGTTGATGCAATTGATGGTGATTGTAGTTGTAATGGTGCCACTCCAGCTGCCCCACTGGGTGCCGGTGAAAAGGATTTTGTCACAAAGGAAGGAAATCATGAGCCAGATGTTTCCCTAGAGTCCAAGTCTGTGCATTCTGAACAACAAGCAGGCGTAGAAAAAGATAGCCATGAACCTAGAAGTACATGTCCTGAATTGGAGTTGAGAGATTCATGTGCTGAAGCACCTTCACCTGGGAAAAGCCAATTAAACTGTGCACTTTCTAATTCTCCATTAAGAGTACTTTCAAGTTTTCCCTGAACTACAGTGTGAATTCAGATATGTATATTCCGGCTTGTGCTTAGATTGTTTCTATATTGCAGAATGAGGCAGTTGATCTGGCTTCAGATGCTAATGAAAGCATGAGCGGAAGGTCTCCAGCAACTCCTGCTTCAGATGTAGCTGAGGATGATGGTATTCTTTCAGATTTGAAATTTTATGTTCATTTTCCCTATAGCATGTACACCTTGGACATTCATTGTAGTGGGTTTTTATGTTCTAACTATAGCTATCTGCATAATTTCAGGTTCTTTGAATGACAACGTGTCAGATCATTGCTTTGGCAATATCCTGGTGGTAATTCCTTTTCTTTTAAATATATTAATTAATGATTACGAGCTTAGAGATACTGCAGAGTGTTTTTCATCTTTTAGGTTCATTCATATAGCAAGTATTCATTCAATTGCTTTATATTAACTCTCTGGTATTGATTTACTGATATTTCTTGATACTCTACATGCTATTTGCATTCTGTTAGCACTGAACTTTTAATTGTTATTTGCCTTGCCCCAAGTCCGTATTTTCAGTTGCTTAGGCAAAGAATGCTTTACCTCTACCTGAGTTGGAATATTTACCGTGCATTCAATGAGCTATAGCTTTCTAATTGTTAGAATTTGGGATTTTGAACTTGGAGGTTTGAGGTTTAAATCTTGGGAGGGTGGTGAGTATGTAAAATGCGAGAGAACTATTTCCTTTGTGTGACCCAGAAGCCCAATGAGCTTCCACTTCTAGGTTTACTTGAAACAAAAGGAAGATTCTGGTTTGTAACTAGTTGTCTTGGGGTTTTTTGTCAATTAACTGTAAAAACAGTTGTAGGTAAGTTTGCTCATAAGATCCATATTTACTAGTTCCTGCTATAAATTTTCTTAAGGCTTTTCAGATTTGTTTTGATTACCCTTCTGTGAAATTTGCAGGATAACATAAACAAGACAGTTGTTCTGTGTTCAGATTATGTTCTATATCAAGATAATTATTATACAGAACTGTCAGTAAATTTTTCTCCTGGTGGCATCAAAATCAATGGCTCAACTGTCAGTGAACACCAAGAGACCTTTAGTTTTGAAAGGGGAATTGATGATATTATTAATATTAACTGTCAGTTGTTTCAAAGGGTGAGTCCTAAATGGCAATATTTGGAGTTAGTTCTTTTGTAATAGTAGTTTATTATTTTAACAGTATACAGTTTTCTATATGGACTGCTTCATAGGTTGGATCTGTGACAGTCACTCTCAAAGTCCTATCAAAGGTTGCACTAGAGGCTGAGAGTGCATGTGGAACTTCGGGTCAGTGGCCTTACACATTTATATTGCCTGTGTCTTTGTGAGCTGATGATGTATATCTTTTGTTTTCATCAACATTGGGATCTTCTCTGCGAAGAATATCAAAACCTGCCCTTGGTGTTGGGTTGTGTTGCTTACCTCACACCTCTGGCTTTGCTCAAATGTTTTCTTCAGTCTAATAAATACCAGGACATAGAAGATAGGAATGGAAGAACTTGGAAAATCTCTATAAACTGTACTATGGATGTGATGCAGCTGGCACTAAATTTTCATAATCAGTTGTCTATGATGTCTTGTACTGGACAATTTGTTCGCGATTGATTTGATTTTATTTTTAGCTTGAAAACATGAACATAACTAATAATTGCTTGTTGAACATAATGAAGACACTTACCATGCTTGTATGGTTATTTTCTTGTAAAATTTTTTTCTCACCTTCTTAGATGTATTTTTGTGTCCATAAAGGGTTTGGAGATTTTGATTTGAGCCTAACTTTTCTTCCTTGTTTTAAGTCTTGGCCTCATTTTAATACTATACTTTCACCATCATATGGAAGTTAGCTCTCAGCTAATGTTTTCTTTTTTCTTTTTATCTGACTTTATTTGCTCATGTATATTTCTTCCAGTCATTGAGGAGTTAGAGTTTGCAGTTACTGACCCCAGATGGTCTGAGAAGCAGGAAGAAATCACCTCATTAAATGTTAAATACCTGGCCATATGGGATATTGTGCTTGAGTAAGCTTCTAAATTAATTTTTCTGTTCAAAATTATCATTCAACCTTAATTTTCCTGCTATCTGGACTTACTTGTGGAATTTTTATTGCATTTAAATAGCACTTATATGCCTGTGATGATATCCATTATGATGTATAATCCAGGGAACGGCTAAAATATTCCTTTTTCTTTTTTTGCTGCATCTGCTTGCAGTCCATTGACAGGAATGGATG